CAAGTAAGCGTTGCGTGTTTCAAGTGTTCCATAAGTTTATGTCACTGCGAATTTATTCCCAGCACAAGATCTCCTGGGGATGTCCCAGAGATGTCCTGAGGACGTAGAAACGCCCCAGGAAGTTCTCAGGACGTACTCTGGACGTCTCCAGGACATCTGTGCTATTAGGGTTATAAGTTCATCATAAGCATCAGATTTATATATTCTGAATAATAGTAAGTTTGACATTTCAATTAAGAATATTAAATTAAAGCAAAAGTTCGGTTTGCTTGCTATATTGAGACAAAGCAATTTTTTCGGGAAAATATTCTTATAAAGAGAATAAATTCTTTTAAATATACCACTAAAAAAAAGAAGCACTTTTCTAAAATTTGTGAGTATACTTTAAGATTATCATCAAGAAAATATTCACTATATTGAAGATAATCCATTCTCTATGTTGGAGGTAATCTTCAATTTAAAAGAAAGGAAAGTAAACTTTGAATAATCGCTTTTTTTAGCTGTAAGATGAAATTTTTCTGTGTGTACTACTACAAGAATAAGTCGTCAGTAAGATTTGTCTTGCCAAGAAATATGGCAAATTTCGTTAGAAACATAGCAAATAGTTTTCAGAATACATTTCAGTTCCTAAAATACAAATAACACATGTAAAATGAAAGAATAGTCAATTACTGCAAAATATTCATCTACTTCTCAGTTACAAAATTTTATAATAATTCTCATTAAAATTCTTTTTATGTAGGATCCTCGATCAATGACAAGATCGATTAGAGAACAATATACGATCAGTTTCTGCTTAGCAAGTAAAAGATAATACCTGCCTAGCAGATAGAAAGAGGGGAAGGACAGTTTTCGAAACTCATACCTGGAAGAGCAGGAGGAGTTGAATCCGAACACGTAGGTCGAGTCGCGTGAGAAACGAGTAACTGAACGAGGAACTGCCTGTGTAATTCTCATCCTTGTTTCAAATTGTGATTATTTTCCCGTTAATGCAGCGAAATTGAATTGAATTGAAGCGTTAATGTCTGTGTAATCAACCGATAATAACTTGTGTGGTACAAATTAAAGGGGAAAACAAATAACACCATCGAACCGTGAAGCCAAAGTTGAGTAGAGAATCTTTACACAGTTGGCGCGCTTCTCTCGTCCGAGACAGCGAACGTTTCGTAAAACGGCCGGCCCAAAGGGCGAAGCAAGCTGTTACACGATTACATATAGCGGAAAGAATGAAAATAGTCGGAAGTCCTCTTCCAGCCTGCCTCCTTCTCCAGCCGTAACCGCGCTAATTTCGACCGATGCGTGTGTGAGTGCGTGCGTGCGGACCGTCCCGAAGAAACGAACGCAAAACGGGGACAAGGCTCGGGGTTTTTGTCAACAGTCCATTTAACCGCGCGTGCACAAAGCGTGTGCACGCGCAGGGGAATGTATTTTTAGTCGCCGCCGCGGCGGTATTTAAAAATAAACGAACCGCATAACCGTACACGGCCTCCTCTCGGTACCGCGCCGTGTGTTGCCCGATGCAGCACACCAGGTATTCACGGCGGGTTATCGCCGAAACATCGTGGGGACCGAGATACCTGCGAGATACTCGAACCGCGCGGACGTTCTGTGACGGCTAATTTTGATACCTCGCATTTTAATGTATCCAAGTACGACATAGTTTTAAAATCTTTTTACCGTTGAGTTTCTTCTCCCATGTAAATTAAATTGCCATTCTTGAGATATGCGGGACATCTTTCCGGTATCGCACAGTGTGTAGTCGTATAACAATAGTGCATTATTATTTTTCTTCAATTAGGATAAGAGAAGCTCTGATGAAGTCGGAAAACAAGAAATGTTGAATCTTTAATCTGAAATTCTTTTTATCTCGCAGCTTTGAATCACGTCATTTGACACATTTAAGAGATGTATAAATTATAATTTATTATGTGTTAAATGACGTGATTTAAAACGATGAAAAACGTCTAAGAAGAGATTCCAACATGACACACTTAGATTTGCAGTTCACACACAGTTCTCTCAGTGCTATAAAATATAAAACATATATCTATCTCACGGAGTATTCGAGTGAGATTTATTGTTGTCAATTTACTTGTCCAAACAATTATCTTTTTTATGTTTACTGAGGAACATCAGAGATGGCAGCCGAAATGTCTAATTGATTTTTCAAGGAGGGTGTTCGATGCTTTATTTCTTGTATTATAATCTTTTTTTAATTGAGCTGCTTTTGTCAGTTGTCGTTCACTGAGTGCCATTATATGTTACATCGAAGATACAATTTAAATCGAAGATAATGTCATATAATTTTATCTAGCTAAATAAAAATTGCCGATAAGTAGAAATTTTTGGGACGAAACAAGTTTCTTTATCTCCTATTAACCCTGAAAGGATCTGACTTAGGAATTTAAGAAATTTTGGTCGTCCATATCTTATCGTTTATATCCTATCGTTTGTCCACTATATACTAAACAATAAATTTAAGAAGTAAAAAATATTTGTTTGCTGATAACATATTTGATATATTTACTTAAATCTAAGGTCCTTTGTTTAAAGAGAATAAGCAGTTACTTAAGTGAAAACCTATGATTTTAAAATATACATTTTCTTAAAAAATAATATTTTTTTATTATTTTTATTTAACATATTTTTACTCTCAATGTGTAGTATTTATTACGTAACTTTATTCAAATATGAGTAAATTTAGCAGTATGAAGAGATTTTAGGCAATATGAGTCTTCTTTGCTTTTATCAACCGTTTCGCTCTACTTCCCTGAAAAACTAACTCGCAGTTGTAGAGAGAAAGTTTTAAGCTATTTAAAAATTATCTTATTATATCTATTATAGTAATATCCACGAATGTTACATAATTTTATTAAAATAGGAAAAATTTTAGCAATATGCAAAAATTTGGAACGAAGTGAGTTTCCATTACTCTTATTAACTGCTTTGCTCTGCTTCTCTGAGAAGATAACTCAATGATTGAAAATTTTTCAACTGTTCAAAAGTTATCCTATAGCCCCATAATAATATTTAATAAAAATTCTGACCAAAGAGATTATAATACTACAACACTATTTCCTAAAAAACATTTTCCATTTTCTCAACAGGACTATTGTATAAACATAAATCGTGCAATCCAGGGAGACGTGCAAAAGCTGCAGGCGATGATGGATGCTGTAACGTAATTTCCGCACAATAATGATAATAAATTACTTTTCTTAATAATAAAAATATATATTATTTAATTACACATATAAAATTCAAACATACATTTAAACAAACATACTCAGTAGTTTTCTTTAAATAAATCCCCGAATATCGCTGCTTATTCCGGCCGGAAAAAGCAATTTGTACTCTTGATTCCGCTTGTCCGATAAATTGTAGGATCGTAGTTGACGGAGTGTTATCACGAATCCAGGCATCGAATCCCGACGTGGACGTATTTAGCGCCGAATGTGGGCTACGTGTGTATGCATATGTACAAACACAGGCCTCTGGCTCTCCGCGTCGCGCCGCGTGCGAAATAATTCCGCTCGCGTGACGTTATCGTCGCGACGAGTTGCGCGTTTTCGTAACGACGTGGGATATTTTCGAGCGAGTTGTTCTGGCGACGGGCCCGCTTGGGCATCCTTTTCCACGGTGAGATCGAATAATCCTCGTCATCAGCTCCGCGCGACTCGTCGCCGATTCCGGAAAAGCGATGGCACGGATCGCGCTCACGATCCTACATTCTTTACGATGCAATTCACAACCTCTCTCTCGTAAGCGGGACTCGTCATCTGTCACGTAAATCGCGAGTCACTGTAAATTCGTGAAAGAATCGCCTGTCACAGCCGAGTTCCGGCTTTCCGTCCAATGGTTTATGACATGTCGTCGCGTCGTGAACGTTGTCTGTCGCGATACTCCAAAAGCCACAAAGAAGAACGAAGGTGTTCTATAAAAAGTAATTTACCTCACTTTCTTTCGCCGCTCCTCCGACTGCGGTATGGGCAATAAACGATAATTTCAGGAGATTACTTTAAGACCGAAAGCGCCGATGGTGAAAACCTTTCACTGCGGCGAGCCTCTCAACGGATGATCGTGGAGAAATTCTTCCTTAGGATCTAGTCTCTGATTTCTAGGACTCGGAAGAAGGACACTTCTTTTATTCTCGCCGCGAGATGAGTCGCTTCATTAGAGATTTCGACTAAAGTCGCGCGTCGTCCTACTTATCATATTATACTGAAATACAGCGCGAAATCGCCAGGATGGCGACATCCGAGAGACGATTAGTGGCTTGAATAAGAATCCTGTTAAATCAGCAATCTCACTTAGAGAAATTGTACCAAGTTCCGTCGACAGTGAAAGGCTGAAAAAGGCTGTAACGTAGTTGTACACTGAATGAAAATCGGTTAGAAATAACTAAGTCTTGGAGTTATGCAAATGTTGTTATGTAAATTTCAGTCGCGTGAAATTGAGAAAATTCTGATCAGTAATCTGACGTAGAAATTAAAACTACAGAATTAGGGACAGGAGCTGTAGAATTTAGTCAACGGTGAAAGATTGGCAGAACTGAAACATTGTACGTATCCCTGGTAGAAAGTTAATGCAGTTGTCGAGCAGTTCCTAAACAGTCACTTAACTTTTGTCTAACTGAAAAATAAAACTAATTGGAATCCCAATGAAGATGTAGCGCTTCTTCTGCAGTTTCTGCGTACGAAAGATACGCAAAATCTAAGTCTACTTATTGAACAACAGAATAAAAAATGAAATATGTTCAATTAATAACCAAATCTGCTGCCCACATAAAATGGGCAAGTTTAGCCTAGTAATATTTCATGCTCCAGTAATAGTATGTATACATTTCTACCAGAGTATGATACACAACCAATTCGCGATATATAATCCCAAAATTGAGTTCGTTTAACTCAGTTAAATTTAGTCCTTGTTGTATCGACTGATTTTTCCTTTTTATATCATATACCGATATTATACCGATGATTTGTTTCTCGACTGTCCAGGGCGGCTTTGCGAGAGTTTACCTGATGACCGACGTCAATAATGGGAACCAATACGCGTGCAAGATCATCCCGAAAAATCGTATGCAGAAAATACACATGCAGAAGGTACGTATATTTGTTTAACCAGCGTGTGCTTGTTTTGCAGAAACATTACGTGTACCTTGTTGTACCTAGATCGCGCGTGAGATCATGATCCACAAGGAGCTGAATCATGTGAACGTCGTTCAGATGCATCACTATTTCGAGGACAACTTGAATGTGTACATGCTTCTGGAGGCTTGCCCGCGTAAGGTATCGTATGTCTCTTACTTACTTGGCCAGTTATCTCTCACGATACGTTCTATCTGTCCGGGAAAAAATCTCGTGTCTCTGCCTTCCGCTTTCGTGGTGATACCGACTGCAAACGAGGCGGAAACTCAATTAAGCCTTCCATTGTGTTATGTCTTATTTAATTTGTCGACAATGGTTTACTTGTTTAATTGTTTACTTGTTAACTCTGAGATAGATACATAATTTTTACATTTATAAAATGAGTGAATACATACTTAAATGTATACATTACATATATACAATGTTCGAAAAGTTCCGGAACGGCCTAATATTTCAGAAAGAAAGCATTTTATAAAAAAAAGTATTTTAGACAAAAGTTTTAAGTTCACAGTTCTCTTTTCAAGATCAATTTAAATTTTTATAAATGGAATTACATAATTTTTTTAAATACAAATCGATTCCCACGGTGATTCTGCATATAAATTTATCGAAAAGAGTGAATATTTTCCGAAATATTTTATATTTTATCTTGATATTACAAGATCTTTCGATACAAGATACAAAATATCTCAGAAAATATTCATTTTTTGTTAACTGCATCTGAATACTTTTGTAAGTAAATTACGCATAAAATTTATTGTTGTAAAAAAAACAGAAGAATCTTAAACAAAATTCCGTTGTATTTTGTAAATTTATTGATGTACTAGTGTGTAAAGATGAAACATTTTTTGTAAAATGCTTTTTTTCCAATGTATTAGACCATAGTATATACAAATCATACATGCATACAGAAATGAATGCATAGAGTAGACTCATCTCTACTATACAAAAAATCGAATAAAGTCACACAAAGAACAACGGCATTTCGGACAGCACAAACTTAAAAGATGGCTTTGAGATCTTAAAAAAACGTCTAAAAGACCTTTGAAGAAAATAGAACGTTTTCTAGATGTTTTATAAAAGTTTGCACCGTTTTGAACAATGATTATAAAAATATCAATGCGTCCAAAGCGTGTCAAGTTTAATATAGTAAGTTTGTTCGTTTAAAAGAAACTTCTGTACTTGTGCAGTAAGTTAGAGTGAAACAAGTACACTTTCTTTCATCCTAACTTATTGCACTAGCGTGCGCTTATTCGGAAGTTCTACGAAAACGAACAGACTTAATGAAATAAGCGAGACATTTCACATCTTTACGCGGTATGTATTATGTATAACTCCAGCATCCATTCTAAGGTTGTGTCTAAGTTCGTTATCCCTTGGCACAAAGCCGTTGTCGTGTTTTATTTTTCACCATGTTGCGCGCGCGCGTTCTTAACAGACACATTCCGATAAGTCATTCCCATAAGTCATTCGCATTCGTTCGAGTCGCGCACTCCAAGTCCGTATCCCGTCGTGCAACACCTGCGCGATCTAAATCGTCGCGTTGAAATTGCATTGTACACGCCGTATGCGAGAAACAATTATAAGCCCATCGCGTCTCTACCTGTCGGTTGGGTCCCGCGAACGTCTTGCGCCACGGTCAACACGACCGTGTATTTCCATCCCGCCGGAAAGAGAGCGGCACTTGCACTCTTCATGGCTGATCCGCCGACCTGTTTGTACCGTTAGGACGCGACGAGGCATCAACTAATCGTCTGATTATCCTCGCTCTCCCTCGCTCAGTCACCTTCGTAAACGGCAAGTCTCATTTCTGCCCGCAGCTCGATCGTCGGGAGGATCGCTATTTGATTCGCGATAGAAATTATCGGGTTATTTTTTGAAATTTCTCATTTGTCTTGAAAATTATCCGTATTGAAAATGTATGCGAAGAAAGGCATATTTCAGACGCTGCTTCTGCACGGCGTAGGTGATAATAGATGCAATAAGAACGAAGACCGTAACTTTTAGCGAAGAATCGCGAAAGAAAGAAAGACTCCGCTGTGAATAGCATTCCACAAAAAAATAAAAACGACAGGATTTTTCGAGGATCCGAGTCTACCGTCTTTTCGCCAGGAAACGCTTTCTTTTCGGTCGTTTACTCTCTTTTCAAAGGGACCATACAGGTGGCCCTTCCGCGGCTCGCTATAGCGTACAATCGCTTTTATGAGATTTTGTTGTCGGTATCACGTATTTCCAAGTTCATAACTGAAGTTTCTTGCAACATCTGTGCGAACGACACGGTTTATGGAAAGCCATAAACGTAAAGTACAAACGCGCAGGGCTGGGAAGGTTAGTTTTTAAAAGTGATTTGTTAGCGTGACTCATTATTCATTAGAAAAAAGTAACTCGTTCACCGTTAGCGTTACCTCCGCGTATTGTAGACGAGCCTTTACAAGTGACACGTTACTTCCCAACCCTGCGAGATGCGCACAAGTAAAATTCCATTGTCTCGATATCCAATTTCTCACTTCCGAAGTCCGTCGAAAGGACTCGTCAAACACTCCACTGTAATGCGGCGAAGCAGTCAACTACTCCAGACACAGAAGCGATCGTTCATTCTCTGCCTCTTCTTCATCAGAGCTTGATGCACGTGCTGAAGTACCGTGGCAAAGTCACGGAACCGGAAGCGCGTTACTATATGAAGCAAATGGTGACCGGCGTGGCGTACATCCACTCTCAGAAAGTCGTCCATCGAGATCTGAAGCCGGGCAACATGTTCCTGTCGGATCGGATGATCGTCAAGATCGGCGACTTCGGACTGGCGACCAGGCCTGACGGCCAACGTAGGCGAGTGTAAGACCCGTTAATTTGTGACACTGTGAGGATCGAATCTCGTGTTCCCCGCTCATTAAGGATACACTCGTTAAATTCGTAAACACAAGTAACAGCAGAGCTCATAAAAGAATTTAAAAAACAAGAAACACAGCGTGTATACAGTCAGTGGAAAAAAGATTGCGATACTTTGGTCTTGATAAATTTACTATCACTAAATAAAAATTACTAAAGAACAACTTCTTTTATTATATCATATTTATTTATTTATTTTTATTTACAGGAAGTAATCCCTTTGCACAAAATACAATTTTACTGACATTAACAACAATAATATTAAAATTAGAGGAAATTTTTCAATTTAGTTGACCCTCTCCCTAATGAGGTAAACTGTCGTGAACATTAAGTTCATTTCAGTTCAGTTTGCTTTTGCCTCTGATAAAATGAGTTGTTCGTGAGATGTTGAAAAAAATCCACGGGAAGCGTGGCTCCAGCAACTTCACTTGTATACCGCAGATGTGTTCTGAAATTTATCGGGGCAAAACTGCAGCAGCCTTTCTCTTCTCACTGACTTAACGGGGAACCATCATAATAATTATACATCCGTCAGATTCTTTCTTGGTATCTCTGTTCTCGTTGACTGTATCGTTAACTTAACTTTTCCCCGTCGGCGAGAACATACAAACATCGCGCATAGAGATCTCCCTTTTTCCCGACGCTCTGATGACGATTGTTAGGCGCGGCCGACGGATGTACGCTCGTCTAAACACAAACGGCGGCACGTCGACCGGGGCGGTATCGTCGACTGCAGTGTCGTTTGCATTCGCAGGACGATATGCGGCACGCCGAACTACATCGCCCCGGAAGTGTTGTACAAGCAGGCGTACAGCTACGAGGCGGATGTTTGGGCGTTGGGCTGCATACTTTATGCCTTGCTGGTGGGGCAGCCGCCGTTCGACACCGCTACGCTCAAGGAGACCTACGCGAGAATCTGCAATAACCATTACCGCGAGGTAGACGACAGTATCGCGAGCAGGAGCGGTCAGGATCTGATCAGGTGGCTGCTGCAATCCAATCCCGAGCTAAGACCGAGCCTGGAGAGAGTGAAGGAGCACGCTTACCTCACCAAGGAGTACGTGCCGGCGTCCTTGCCCCACACTTGCTGCTACCAGATGCCACCGACGTCGATTGTCGAGCCATCCTCGGTCTCTACTGTCGCCAGAAGCCAACAAGAGGCCAACAAAGCGCAGCAGGTCAGTGATCCCGATAAGTTGTCCGGTCATCGATATATTTTTAAAAAATCGGGTAGAAAGAATTAATTCCCAGGATTTTATGCAAATTTCGTCGCATAAACTGCAGTCGAATCGAATCGAATACATCAGATCAATAATCTACAAACTGCAAAATTAAAAAAATAACAATTAGTCAACAGCAAACAAAATTAAAATATGGTTGTATGTATGTATATTGTATGTATACGTAGGTTTTTCTTTCAATCACCAAAGGTTGATTTAACTGTATAACGCGAATAATTCTAATGAAAGTAAATCATTGATCTGAATTTAGGATTTGTTTTACGTAAACAATAAAAACAAAGAGTGTTTACGCTAAAATTTGTTCTCTAAGAGGCAAGACACAGACAGTTTGCAAAATAATTTGCAATCCTGAAATTGAGTTCGTTTCACTCAATTCCAGTTACTTCCGCGGATTCTTCTTTTTGATGCGTCATCAAGCTAGAAAAGGTGTTCACAAAGCGCCCTGAATTTTTTACAGGTATGGCAGCAGAGCCTCGTTCATCCCGACGCGTCTGGCATGCCGCGTTATCAGCAACAATCGATTCAAGCTCAACAGCAGCAGCAATTGCAGCAGCAACATCTACTCAATCGCTCGCAGAAAAGCCTGCAGAAGGAGTCCAAGGTTTCCAGCTGGCTCGTCAGAAAATTACCGAAGCTGCCGCGGTTCCGGCAACGGCTTAGCAGCGTGCTCTGTCCGGACCACAAGAAGATCGGCCTCGTGGCGCAAAGCGTGCAAATGCATCGCGCTCTGGAGGCCTGCGTGACGGAGATGAAGCGCAACAACACGTGCAACCCGCCGACCGTGGAGGACATCGTGCCGCTTTTCGTCACCAAGTGGATCGATTACTCGAATAAGTACGGGCTGGGCTTCCAATTGTCCGATAAGTCGGTCGGCGTTCTCTTTAATGACAACACGAAGATCAGTTACACTCACGATAGAAGGTAAGTTCCGAGACTGCTAGCGAATAAATCGAAAATTACGCTCATTGCTTGAAGTAATTTCCGGCGAAAAAACGCGATTATCCGTTGATTCGATGAAAACTATCAATTATTCAATTCAATTTCGTTTTATCGACGGTAGAATAATCCATTTAGTACTATACAAAATATAAATTATGTTGCAGAAGAGTGGAATACATGACGACCGACGACGAGGTGACGCGATATCACCGAGAAAAGGACATCCCATTGGCGCTGCAGAAGAAACTCGAGTTGCTCCGTCACTTCACCGAATATATGGACGATTTCCTCACAGAAGGTGAGCTTGCACTGTGAAGCTTTCTTCCCTTATTTACACACACAACTCAACAACACGAAACGTGCCATAATCATCCTGTGTGTCCTGAGGGTGTCCTGGGGAATGCCTCAGGACGTTCTGAATACATCCAGAATAATCTTAGGATATTCTATGCTGCCTGAAAGCAGAAACGAAGAGCTGTAAATTAGTTAAGTAGAGAACACTCGGTTCTTCTATCTCCGACAGACTCATTTCTCTCTCGAGTATTTCTTCCCTAATAAAAAACGACAATGAGACCGTGACGCAATTACTTAGGCTAACGAGTAAAACTCCAACGTATGTGTGTGTTTGTGTTACGTGTTGTAGGTGGTGAGCTGAAAAAATATCGCGCGCCGCCGCGACAGTCGAAAAACGCTTGCGTGCCGCGAATGAGACGGTGGCTGCGTACAGACAAGGCCATCGTGATGGAGCTAACGGTACCTCTCCTGCAAGTGAATTTCTTCGTGGACCACACGAAGATGGTAGTGTCGCAGGAATCGCCGGGTAGGGGATACTTGATCACTTACATCGACACGGGCCGACACGCATCTTCCTATTGGCTGAACGATCTGCGTGACCTCGGCTGCACCCCGGACCTCTACGAGCGGCTGTACTACGTCTGCAAAGTGACGCGCGAGTTCGCCGAGCTAGACAACAACACGATCGCTTGACCGCCGGCGAATTCCCGCGAAACGCGCTATTCTCTCAGACGCTGAGACGAAAAACGGCCGAGACGATATCTTACGGACCTGATTTCGAGCTCTCATCCGGGCAACCTCTTTCCTCTTCTCAATCGGATTCCATAGTTGTCAAATTCCCCCAAATCGCATCGGCCATCACGATGACACGTAACTATTGCGATGAGAAGAAACAGAAAATACTCCGACTCTCCGGTTCAATGGAGGAAGTAGCGGGGCTGCTTAAGCGCGTCACGGTACATACCGTTACGTGCATTTCTCAGGAGGTCGTAAATAAGAACACGTCACGCGTGCGGGTCCGAGAAGGCGTGTCACACACGCGAAAAGAGCCGCGGTTTGAGTGCTTCCGTTGGGATTTACGGGCTTGTGCGTTGTTTTCGCAAAAGTCAGAGGTGGCCGCCCGCCGAAATAGCATTTGCAAATGGAGAATGAGTCGCCGAAAACTAACATACTATTTCTACGCACAGTGGCTCTCGTTGCTGGTCACGCGAACGCGAAAATTCATATGATAAAAGCACCAATACCTGAACAAATACCCAACTCTGGTTTTCTCTTTTTAGCCTTTAAATACGTTTAAGCTTTCAACATAGAATATATGTATACATTCGATATGTGTACATTCGACATATATATTATATGTTGAAAATTTAAACATTCATGTTTAAAGACCCAAACAATAGAAAGAATGTTAAGTATATATCCAAGCATTGGTACTTTCACTTTAATTTGCATTTTGCAGAAGATCTCGTACTCCTCGTGTAAGAATCATTCTGTAAATCCGCTGAGATATATCGAGATCAATACGAACGTCGTGAACGATTAGATCAAATCGATAAGATATAATCGCGTTCGGTGACATCTTTCATCGTACAGGATGCAAAACGGGTCACGAGTAGGAGTGTCAACAACATTGTTACTACCTCCATTAAATAGGTATGTGTGTGTGTGTGTATATGTGTGTGCGTGTGTGTGTATATATAGCACAGTCGTTAGTGTATTTATTTTTCATGGCGCAGATCTCCCTAGTTCAGTGCCTATATCAAGTAAGTGATCGACACATTCGGTAGATTAGTTTTGTCGGGCGTAAATCGAGCAAATAGTTTTGTTACATTCGATTAAGTGTGTTACTTTTCGCGCACACGCGCAATGTTGTGTCGTTCGAAACGATAAACGTTCTTCACGTACAAAGAAGTATTTCCGCTGAACAAACACAATGTTAACAAAATCTAAACTCCATTATTCCGTAATTCGTTGTTAAGACACCGTGTTGCCTGTAAACTTTTGATTATCCAGGAGAAAGAGAGTTTGAATCTCATAGGAAGTAAGAGAAGACGATCGACATACATAAAAAAGGAAAAGAATCTAAAGATATCTGAAGGCAGTTTCGATTTTTCACACGTTCTCTGATCTCTTGAGATATTCTTCGGACTATATGTTATTGATTATGAAAGAAAGAGGAAAGGAAAAAAACGAGATATTTGTGATACTGTGAGATTGTTGTTGGAAATTGGATCTGATGCGATTTGAAGTGTGTGTGCGTGTGTATATGTGTATTGCAAAAATGAGAAGAATCGTCGAAACGCGTCTGTCGGTAGTGCGCGTAAAAGAGAGTATATCCTGTGTTTATCACGTTATTTTTTAAAAACCAATTTTTTCATGAATTTTGGGATCGACTTTTTGTTTTATCTAATGTGATATATGCGTTGTATTTATACATATATATATATATATATATATATATATATATATATATATATGTATGTATGTATGTATGTATATATATATAAACGTGAGGATTCGTCGTCATGAGGTCTTTTGATACGGTTTGTCGTTGAGTACTTAAAGAGAAAAACCGGCTAAGAGAACGCCTCGCAGGCGTTGCCCACTATACGATGTTCCAGGAAGGTGCGGTTAAAAACGAAAAAGAATAAATTTCTAGCAATCCTAGTCACGCTCCTTTTTCACGTTTCTAGATTTAAGAGCGACGAGTGTCTCACTGCCATCGTTGTTAACGCCGTGGTAACGCGTTGCTACTGTATCTCCAGGCTGTTACGTTATAGTTAATAATACTATTTATTAGTTGCGTTCGCGCGCGTACACTTGTTGAAAGTTCATCATGCGTTATTACTTGTTGTTACGATGGTGTGAATAACGCTTCTGTTAGCTGTGCATGCCGTCGACGAGATTCTCAAGTGTCGCGAGCAGCGTCGCCGTGGGAATTCTTGCGCGTGCGACGCGATATCGCATCCCTTCGTATGCATTTTTCGGGAGCGACGCGACGGGTCCCGTCAAAAAGTTGTTCTACTTCCTGTTATCGTGTATATTAACTATTATATAGTTATCGCTAGTTCTATTATTATTGTTATCACTCTATTACTCTATATATATATTATCGTATAGATAATTATTGATATTATTATAAGAATTATATATATATATATATATTATATGAAAATATTGTGCTGCTAGCGCTATTGACACGTAATCGATAATACTATTGTCACGACAGTGAACGCAATTATCTTTAGTACAAGTATTAATTACTCACTTAGCAGTAATGGCAATTATTACGATTATTAGTATCGCGCTTGTATGTACGCGAGACAATCCGCTGCATCACCGGGTGAATGAGTTTGTTACTTGCATCCGACACGACGGCTACTGTCACACAATCACCGAGTGCAGTGATATTATTATTATTATATTTTATTTTTTATCGGGATTTTGTATCGCATAACGATTGTGCGCGCGTTTCATACAACGAGGCAGCGATTAACACTAAAGATCTCAGATTTCTCGCTTTGTTCGTCTTCCACGAAGGAGAAATAAAGCGTTAGATTCGAAACAACAGACGTCGTTTCAATTGTGGAGAGCGCATCGTGTGAGTTGAAGGAAGAAGAGTGTCGTTAGCGAAACATTTAATAAAAACTACATTTTTGACAAAGTATAAAGTGTATGTTTGGGTATTCTTGCATGTTCCATGCGTTATATCCGACGTAAGTTTTTATTTCACGCTCTGTCCTTTGTATATGATTTAACTTACAAGAATCTATGTACATTGAATTCGGTTTTTACAGAATTATTTCTGAAAAATAGCTAACGATATTTATTTCAATATTTGGCTTTCCTTAAAGACGAGCGGAGGATAAAAAAGAGCCTATGCTATTAACTCTAATGTATATCGCTTGAAAGATCGCGCATCGCATATATTCTTTGGGGAAAAAATCATATTCTTCGAGTAAACTTCACGTTGCTTTTACCATCACAAGTAGCACATTTAAAGTTTAAAGATATTTTTATCCTTCAAGAGAGAAATCATCGCTCCAAATTAAACAATATTATTCGGCAATGTATATATATATAACATAAGACATATATACGAAACTTTTCCTGCTTTTATAATCTTCTCGATCGTAATTTACCGCTAAAGCTAAAATAACACGTTAAATGCCGCGATGATTACCAGTGATCAATTTCCATTCTATGATACTACCATTATACTCTTATTAAATTATGATATAATAACATATATATCATAATTAATTGCATTTGAAAAATCATTTGTATAACCAATAGGATTCCAGACGATACAAATTTCTAAGAGACATCCTGCCTCTTTCAGACGTCTATGAGACATCTTTCAAAAAAGTGTCTCTAGAAAGCCATTAAAATCAGCTAAAAGATACATTTATCTCGAAATACATTTGTTTACTGTGTCTTTGGCAATTCAATCTTCATGAACTTTTGTGCAATCAACGTGGCAGCCAACGTATTAATCGTATGAGAGATAAAAGGAAGAGAGAAGATCGATTGTATCACTAGACTATATCGCTTTACTTCGCGATTTCCATTCTTATCGTCTCGTTCTGTATTCTCGTGCTTTCAGAGAAGGTCCCCTTAGAACTCATATTGAGAGACAAAAATTATGATCTTGGCGACGGCGCTGCCGACGAACTTGCTGTCGTGATAGATCTCCATGCTGAGATCCAATTCGATCTCCTGCGGCCCCGGGATGCTGCGCGTCAGCACCAACACCGCCTGAGAGGGTGAAGGTTTCCTCAGATTGAAGCAGGACTCCGTGGCGCGGGCGACACCAGGCACCGCGCGTACGTCTATCATCGCCATGGTGAACTGTACCGTTGAATCCGGGTGATGGTTTCCCCTCATAGTGAATAACTCCAGCTGACCGGTGTTAGGGATCGGCAGCATGCTCACGAAGGTGATGAAGTTGTAGGAGTAATGCAAGGGCGAACGAATGCAGGCCAGGTCACCCCATGGACAGGACCGCAAAGAACGCACGCAACGGCTGAAACGAAAGTGGTTTAATAACAATTCGAAGTTAATTATAATTACGAGCGCAAGTAATTACCGAAAGTGGTTTAATAACAATTCGAAGTTAATTATAATTACGAGCGCAAGTAATTACCGAAAGTGGTTTAATAACAATTCGAAGTTAATTATAATTACGAGCGCAAGTAATTGTCAATTATTCTGCGGATAATTATAATTTTAGACACAAGAATTATCATACACACAAAAATTATGTATAATTATTATTATAATTTAAATATTATTTTTATTTATAATTGATAAAATTACTTGCGTTCAAAATTGTCTAAAAGACACGATAAAATCGCAACTTGAGGCTTCTGTTTCCTTGCCGTGGCCAGCTTGATTAAGCGAAATCGTGTAATTAAAAAATAGGCCATATTATAGCCATTTATTGATTTTTAGAACAAAAAAGAAGTTTCCAAAACATTTTACGAATCTGTTCATTATTTTATGGACATATCTTTTTATTTTAACATACTTTGTAAGAATTTTAAGCGTGCATTTCCTCGCTTTTAATATCATCGATTCAAGATGACCACAACAAAAGGGACGAACTAGAAGCTTTGAAAATTTCAAATTTAACTTAGGACAAAAAGCTATCTCGCTAAAAGATTTGATAGAATTATATATGAGAAAAATCTATGTAACTAAATTGTGTTTTTGGTAAAAAATGATAAAATTTCATAAAAAGATATATGCATTCGGATAAATATTTAATTATTTAGTATAATATTTGATCGTTGAAAAAGTTACGATATAAGATGATAGAAATGATAACTTTCTTATATAAGCTGATATGTAAGAAATTAAAATTTCCAATAGAAATGATAGATAAAAATAAGTAGCATGGAATTTATATATGTATTTCTACCAATTCTTATCGGATTTTTTAAGCAGGAGTTCCGATTATCAGATAGAGTAAGCGAATAAGGACTGCGTTAATTTTGTTCCTGTATTAGCCAAATAATATCAAATTTTCATGTTAGTAACAAAAAACATGTTCTTACTAACATGAAAATTTGATATTATTTGACGGCTAATACAGGAAAAAGTTAAAGTGTTTCGAAATAGGTTCGCTTACTCTATCACATGCTCAATCATTACATCAGTGTCAGACATTTATCATTACTTTTTTTTCGAGCCGTCTCGATGATATCCCGCGGGGCAGTTTATCTTGTTGCATCGGTAACTGCCGCGCGTGTTGTGGCACGTTTCGTCCGGATCCCTGCAGACCTGGCCGGTCGCACACTCGTCGATGTCTGCGAACAGCACACGTAGGAGGGAACAATTAAATTCGTTGCACGTGGCGAAATCGTGGCGAGCGCGACCACGACGGCGACGATGTCGTGATTGCTCGAGATTGAGGAGATTGTGGGAGGAGATGACCCCGGAGCAGAATGGAGCGCCAGTGACCCCAGAGCGATGCTCCAGTTCACCGGCAAACAGGTCAAGTACAAATCGTGCCGCTTTACCGCTGAACAAAGTAGGTGGAACGCGTGCCACCGTTCACGAAGCTACTACACCGTGACTAACACGTAAACGGACGCTCACTCGCGCGCTCTCAGTTCTGCCGCCCTCAATTAACTTTCGCACAATCGCGTTATCCACCCACGCCATTAACATTCCCGTATAACATATGATTTTCGAGATTCCCCGTGTTTGATCCGCGAGTAATCGTATCGTCCTCTCGTGTCTGCAAGCCGATGTTTGTACTCAGTTTGAAAGTAATACCGTTGTATTGTTACAAATTACTTCTTTTTAATGAAAACATGATAGCAACGTCATTTTTTTCGCTTGTAAAGATAATGGTAACGAAATTGTATTTGTTAAACTAAAATAACATCTTAGAGATTCGACGAAAAAGTAGAAATTGTAACGATTTGTTATTTCTTCAGAACGATAAGGGTAACAAGTTACTTTTTAAAACGAGTTTTTTCTTAAGTTAAGTTGATCAAGCACATGCGCTATTTTAAAATAACCCAAGTTAGATGCTGACATAATACAACTTTCGTATTTTTCACTGTTTTTCTATTTAGTCATATAAAATTGCAAATCCTTATTCAGAATAAAAGTACAAATGTCAATGTACGGCAAAGTATACCACGTTATATCAAAAACAAAAAAAATTTTTGTAAATAAAAAATTCTTTTTAATATCTTATATAACATGGAATATTCTGCTAATCTCATTGATATTTTTGTTTTCATCTTGTACAAGCATTTTCAATTATATTCAACTATATTCAATTATATTCAATTATATAACTATTTTCAATTATATTCAATTGTATTCAAATAGGAAAACAGTACAAACACTACGAAGCTGCATTATATCCACCATTCTCCACTAATGATTTTTAGATATTTTTTTAGAAATCTGTGCTGTCTCGAAAGTCATGGTGACAAAGTTACTTTAAAAAAAAAACTTTTCCTAATCCTGAATCTTATATGTCAGCAAAAAGGAGGCAAACCTTGACACGTTCGCTGATCGCTACCGAGCCGGTATCCATCAGGACATTTGCATGCGTAGCTTCCCGGCGTGTTCTCGCAGATGCCAATGCAGAGATTATTATCCTTGAATTCCATGCACTCGTCTATATCGCTGCAGGACCGATTGTCGGCGTTCAATCTGTATCCGGAGTTGCATCCACATCTGTAACTGCCCCAGACGTTCAGGCATATGTGCTGACAGAGTCCCGGTATTCGCTCGCACTCGTCGATGTCCTAAAGAAATCCATCCGTAACAACACCATCCCGGGATATAATTACACTCAATAAAGCTTAAAACGATTGGACATATTCCGTTTAAAAGACTTGACAGAATTACATGTGAAGCATTTATGTGACTATGTAAAAATTGTATTTTTGATAGAAAATAATCAAACAGCATAGAAAAACGCATCGTGTATTCAGATAAATATTTCATCGTTTAATATAATATTTAATCGTCGAAAGTAAGCTACAATATAAAACGAGAGAAATTAATGACACTTTTATATGAGCTGTAATGCAAAATATATCTTTGAAATTCCCGTTAGGAATAATTAGCTCAGAGAGAGAGATCAAATCATATAGCATTTTAATGAATCTATATATGTTTCTGTTCAATCTTCACATCAAATTTTTTAAGTGGGGTAAGACTTACTTGACAAAGGCCAGCACCTCTGTTGTTCTCGAAGCCTTCCTCGCACAGACATTTGTAGGAGCCGGCGGTGTTCTCGCAGCGACTGTTCAGGCCGCAGATGCGAGTACCGTAGACGCTGCATTCGTCGATGTCGACGCAATCCTTATTAGGCCCGTCGACGTATCCCGGCGGACAGAGACAGTGATAACCGCCCAATCTGTTCTCACAGACCTGGCCTTTGCTGCACTCATGGATTTCTTCGCGACATTCGTCTATGTCGAGACAATGTTGACCGGATACCTGGTCTAAAGCGTAACCGGGCGGGCAGATCACTTTGGACATGCACCTGAAAAAAAATTCTGCCGTGTTCAAATCATCGTTCTCAGTCCGTAACATGCTGAAGCCGAGAGACGTGTCGGCGGATCGCGAAGATAATTAACTACTTGTGTGGGAATGATGTGCTGTGCACGTCTTGGCCTTTTCTCGCCAAGCTGCAACAACGTGCTAAGTACGTCGCGTGTCTTCTTATTGCAATTTGCAGCAACAAATTCGCGTATTTCATCAGTATATGCATCATCCTCATCATTATCATCATCATTGGATTACAATGCAAATCCATATATTAGATGCGTGTCCGCTATTTCTCAATTTGAGTAAGTTTTAATTATTAGACAAAATATTATATAGTACAAAATAAAAGAAAAAATAATAGACAACATAATATATAGTAATTATCAGACAAAATATTATAAAATGTAGCGAACGAATATAAAACATAGCTAACAAAAATAATACATACATATGAAAAGTAAAAATAAAGTAAATGTAAAGTAAAAGTAAAGTAAAAATACGTATAGATGTCAAGTTGCAGTTAAACGTTTACTGTTTAAGCGCAACTAAACTTGAGACCTAATTCAGACAAAACTAAAGATGACTAAAGATAACATGAAAGTTACAAAGGCGAATAGAAGTAATTTCTATTCATATATTTATAGAACTTTTTTACCATTATTTACTATTCTTTTTTCTAGAATGAGAAAAAAGTCCCGAAATCTCATTACTGTGACGGAACAACCAATATAATAATTTATGATTGTAGATTACATAATATATAATAATGCAAAATTTTATGAACAGTCGCACAAAGACACATACACATTTCCCTACTTAAGAAATTTGATAAAATTACATAAGAAAAATCTATGTAACTGAATCGCGTTTATAATAAAAATGATAAAATTGCATAAAAAGGCTGTTTACCCCTTATAGAAATATCATACTAAGAATCATTGATAATTACTTATTATCCAGTATTTTTAATACTGAAAATAAGTAATTATCAATGATTCTTAGTATGATATTTCTATAAGGGACTTAGATAAATATTTAATTCTCTAATATAATATATATTTAATCGTTAAAAGTTACGATACAAAACGAAAGAAATTGATAACTTTTTTGTATGAGAAATTTCTAACAGAATAAGTTCAGAGAAGAAGTCATATAGGGTCTCAATAAAATTTATATATATTTCTATCAATATTTTCTTAACATTTTTAAGCAAGTTTATCAATTTCCAGCACAAGTAAATTATTCTCTACAGAATAACCTCACTGTAAGCACTCTTCTACCTGAAGGATCCCAAAGTGTTGATGCAATTCTGCCGGCCACAAGGATTCGGTGTTTTCCGGCACTCGTCGATGTCCATGCACTTGCCGCCAGAGCCGGACTCGAAGCCGCGCGGGCAACTCGGCCGAGAATCAATCGGCGTCAACGACGAGGGTGTAGTCGTCGAAGTTGTCGTCGTCGTCGTCGTAGTCGTCATCATCATCGTGGCTCTCGAGATCGCCAATGTGCGTGGCTGAGGGCTCGGTATGCGCGGAATGCGATCACAACGATAGGAACCAAGTGTATTCCTGCATTGATATCCTCCTCTACAGTCGTGAGTAGCTAGAAGGCATTCATCGTCGTCCCTGTTTAAGAGATTTAATAGAATTACACAAGAAAGATCTATGTAACTGAATCGTATTTAAAAAAAAAATAACAAAATTGCATATAGAAAGGTGTGTGTACTCAAGTAAACATTTAATTGTCTGGTGTAATGTATATTTATGCTGCAATTTTAAGCAAATATATGAATAAATCGTAAAATCGTAAAATTGTATCTTACGAAAAAGAAAAAATTGTAGATATTTACGAGTTATCATACCCTTATAGAAATATCATACTAAGAATCATTGATAATTACTTATTATCCAGTATTTTTAATACTGAAAATAAGTAATTATCAATGATTCTTAGTATGATATTACTATAAGGGTATAACATACCCCATAGAATTTACTCATAAGTTCTTACGAGTCTTACGTGAACAAGTTACGAGTTTTATGATTTTGTCTAGAATTGCAGTATTAATCATTAAAAGTTACGAAAGAAATTGATAACTGACTCGCAGATCTCCGTCGCGGCGTTCAACGTATATCCGGTGCCACACGATAAGAAGCGTGTGCATGAATAACTGCCGATCGTGTTGTCGCATCGCTGCGTCGGCAGACAGTCGTTTTGCTGTAATGAGAAAAAGTGTCAATCGTCAAAGAAGAGATCATCAAAAAGATAACATAACTGTTGAGGTTTTTGGTCTTTCGCCTTAGCCATCTTGGATAATAACATCAGAAATGAATGTTCAAAATTCTTGCAAAATATGTTGAAGAGTATTGGATTATGTAATAAACAATTTCGGATTTTTCAGGTAAAATAAGACGATTGTATTTTTACATGATTATAAATTTTGTGAAACCACCTATGCGAAGAATAAGAAGTCATGAATAAAAACAGCACACATTGTATCATAAATTATAACATATACACTTATATTTATATAATAAAATACAAACATTTTATTTTACCTGAAAAAATCTTATTGCAACTCAATAAAAAGGCACGTACACATAAACTTACAAATAATAATCAATGGTAAATATTTGATAAATATCAATTTAATGAATATTTTACAAATCTATTCAGCCAGTCGCAAGTTCGTCGTTTGATAGACAAACTTTTTTATTTTAACATTGCCCGAATTTTGAACTTCTATCTCTCGCTTACAAGCTACAATCCAAGATAGTCGCGGCGAAGGACCAAGAGACTTAACACCGCGGTCGTTTATCTTCCTCGACCGCGGGCATGAGAGATCACAATGTTTCAGGTCTTTCCCTTGCAAACTTCGGATGCATACCGACGTGTCGACTCGCGCGCACATGCGACACGTGTTCGCACGGGCGAACGTCTCATCGTCGTTACCTGCAACTGACATTCGTTGATATCGACACAGGCCTGCGTTAAATTATCACGCCTGAAACCGGTCTTGCAGGTGCACGTGTAGCTTCCCATGGTGTTGACGCACTCCTCGTTGCTGCTACACGCGTCCTCAAGCTCCCTGCACTCGTTGATGTCGACGCAGCCGCGATTCCTCACATACCTAGTGCCGTCCATGCATCTCTGATTCCTGCCGGGCACCGGCAACGCCGTCGTCGACGGCTTCCTGGTGATCGGAGCGGGCGGCGTTGCGCAGCTGTAACCACCCGGTTGATTGTAGCAAATCTCATCGCCGCATGTGTCCAGCCCTTCTGCGCACTCGTCTATATCTACAGTTCCGAATTAAAATATATGTTTCAGTGTCCAGAACGGTGAAATTCACGCGAGTATTTTTACGTTTTATAAAAACTGTTTTTTTTTTATTTACGTTTTATAAAAACTATTTTTTTTTTTATTAATCTCATACTAATATTAACGTAACTTGCATTAATTATAATGTAAATAGTATTAATATAATTAATTATAATATAAATAGTATTAATATAATAAACATAATACAATAATAAACATAATATAATAAACATAAAATACCAACTTGCAGAATACGACTAAGTAACGAAGCATTATTATTCACTTACAACAAAACGAAATTAAATGTCTCGTTACTTAGTAACTGTCGTATCGTGATGCTGAGATAAAGCTCGATGGTAGTTACGTGAAAGTTAATCGAATGCAGGACGACACGAAACAAAAGCACGATACATCCAGTCGTGCACGATGTATATATGCGTGCACACTACAAGAAAATCGTAATTATTACTGAAAAGAACAACACGTGCAGATCATTAAAATTGATAAAGATCGTATCATTCACCCATGCATTCGCGAAAAATTTCTCGGACATGCTTATCCTGATTAGCATGCTTAGCCGATTATCCTGAGCTCGGTGTCAATATCATTCTGACGAGTTCTGAAAACACGAAAAGTATCTGAAATTCTTCTTAATACACATATACACATATATGGAAGCGCTATAAATTCTAAAAACTTATGCTACGATCTAACTTGACAGTGAACAAACGTAAGATACAGCCGAGAAATATATACAATGTAAATATATACACATAATTAATTATAATTAATTTATCTCTACAACTTAAATGAAAGAAAGCATCTTATTATAATTATAAGAACTAGATTCCACGCAAATCATTTAAACGTACCTGTGCATGCGCGCAAATGAGTGTAGTATCGGTAGCCGGAAGGACAGGCGGGTCGTTGACGTGGACGTTGTATGACAGGTGGAGGTCTCTCGCACCTGTAAAGGTGCCACACGTTTAAAGGAAAAATCAACACGTTGACTGTCACTTTGACTTCTGTTGAATGTATGAAAGCTTCCCACACAGACGAAGATACTGAACATTGCTATGCACGCAAACATTTAATAATATTTTAAAAATACAGCAAATAATAACTTTACTCAAAACTACATAACGTAACTCAAAACACATATACGTTTACTCAACATTTCGCTCAACACGTTAAATTTCTCTTATTACTCAATTTTCCCCAAAACATCAATCGTTACTCAACATTAAATCAACATCTAAAAATATTAATTTTATGTGTATCTTTTGAAAGCTTTCACTTAATATTTTAAAAATATTTCACATATCTTATCACACTTATTATGGTATTTCTTTGAATATTGCAAGGATGTTTTAAAAATATCATAATGCCGTTAGTTATTCGTAATGATGTTGACACAACGTTAAAAATTGCATATCGAAAAACGTTATACGCTGTTAAGTATCCTTGCAATAATGTTCTATCGATTATTTTTGTGCTTACATGTACACTCGTCGACTGTAATCTTACGCACCTATATGTGCCCGGCAAGTTGATGCATCTTTCCAGAAGTCTCGCGTCACAGGTGTACTGTCCAGTCAAGCATTCATCGATGTCTTCGCACTGTCGAGTGCCTAAAGAATATTGATATCCAGATGGACAAGAGGGCAGCCTGATCAAACATTCGAAGCTGCCCTCCTTGTTCACGCAGTACTGATGCAAATCGAGCCGGCAGTTGTGCAGACTTTCGGAACACTCGTCGATGTCCAAGCAGGTGCCATTGAAAGTTCGTCGAAAGCCACGCTTGCAGGGCGGTATTAACTCGCATATGAAGGATCCGTTGGTGTTGACACATCTATAAATTAAGATTTGCAAGCGTTCGTATTTGAATCTACAATTCTAAAGCAAAGTATGCGCGTGCACGGGACATTTAACATCAAGGAGACACACCTGTGAGTACCCTGAGAACAATCGTGTCTGCCTAACAGGCACTCATCCACATCCTGACAGCTCTTCGTGGCTGTATGGAAGAACCAGCCGGTGCTGCAGAGCGGCGAACAGTCGTAGCTACCCGGAGTGTTGGTGCATTTCTCATAATCGCGACAGCTTGGCCCGACCAAGCACTCGTCTATATCCACGCAGTATCCTGTGCTTGCGTCTCTTTTGTATCCCAGCCTGCACGGTTCCGTAGACCAATAACGATCTGCTCTCTGCAAGCATAAGCATGAATTACATGCTAATAATGTAGAGCAAAAAGTTGATCGTATTTTTATTTAAAATTAACTAAGTTAAAAGTCATTAATTTTTTATTTAACTTTTAATTAATTAACTAGTAATTTAATCGTGGTATTTTGTATTATCAGAAAAAATGAGTGTGTTTGTGTATTTCGTGGGTGTGTAATTAATTAATTTCTAAATCAATATATTTGGTTGCTTTTGGTTCGCGCTGTATATAATCCCAGATAGCACAGAGAATTCGAAAAGAATTCAAAAAGAATTCATTCGTATGTCACCAATTCTGAGTTCATTTTCAAATACAAAAAGAATTCTTCAGAGTTCAGTTCAGTAAAAAGAATTCCTTTTGCATCTAAAAATGAACTCAGAATTGGTGACGTACAACTGAATTCTTTTTGAGTTCTCTGTGCTATCTGGAATGTTAGTGATACTTGCGAATTCGTTACCCACGTTATTTGATAAATTGTGGATTCTAGATGTTTGCATTTTGTAGCGTAAATCGTTAAAAGGTCTTCTGGTTGTGCTACTGGTTGTCGTCATCGTTGTCGTTGCGGCGGTAGTGGTGGTTGTGATGGCTAATGGTTCACAGAGATAAGAACCGTTTGTGTTGAGGCAACGGTGAGTCAAGCGATTGCAATTGTGCAGTCCGAGCGAGCATTCGTTTATGTCCTCGCAAGGATCCTCGGTTTCATTAACAAAATTCGGACTGTTGTGCAGTCGGAATCCGGGCAAGCAGGTAGGAGAGCAACGGTAACTACCCTCCGTGTTCACGCAACGTTCACCAATTCCACAGACCGCTAGCCCGTTGGCACACTCATCAATGTCTGCAACGTGACAGATTATCATACTTGTAGAGAATTCCAACTTATTTATTGTTATTTATAAATTATTTTTCCGAAATAATACTATTACTAAACAAAAAATCATTGATAAAATGTTATAACGCTTTCTAGTATATAATTTTTAACGTTGTATCAACATCATTACAAGTAACTTTTCGACACTTCAATATTTCAAAAAACATTTTACAATATTCCAAGAAATCATATTATCCGCCAATATCTTTAAAATAATTTTAAAATATCAAGCGAAAATGTTAAAGAGATACGCATCAAATCAGTACCTCCAAATATTGATCTAATGTTCTTTGTTTACTGAGAAGATTAGTGCCCGGAGAACACTAAATAATAGTAACATCACGTCAATGTTGCAATTTCACTCAACAATATAAGTGCAATATAATACATGTTGTATGTGACAGTTAAAGTGGGAAATTATAACATTGATGTAATGTAACTGTTTACTTGGTGTTTACTAAGTAATTGTAAAAACAAATCGCAGTTACCGATACAACGACGCGATTTGCCATCCAGAAAATAACCACTGCCGCAATCCACGATTTCATTATTACGATTAGTGACTGGTAAGATGTTCGTTTCTCCCAGTTTGTAAACTCTGTTGTCACTCTTCTTCGTGGTGGATAAGCCTTCGTCGCGTTTAACCGGCACGCATCTAATGATTATTTCATTCAATTAAAGTAAATTCGTCGCGTTAGCGTTCAAGACTCGTTAGCGTTCAAGAATTGCGGAATTTCGCACCTGTAACTGCCAATCTCGTTGACGCAACGTTCGTCAAACTCACAGGAGTGAAGCTGTTCGCTGCACTCGTCGACGTCTATGCACGTTATTTCCGAATCGTTTGCAGGCTTATATCCGGCGGAACAGATCAACGGGCTCAGTGATACGTTCTTTCTACGATCGGAGAGATCCTTCTCGATCGGTAGTCGCGGAAAAGAATCGCTCGAAGATCTCACGCACTTGTAAGCACCCACGGTGTTGACGCATAACGCACCGGGATCGGGACAAAGATTGTTCGACTCGAGACACTCGTCTATATCTAAAAAGAATAATCAAAAAATTTCATATATTTCAAATGTGTTAAAGTTTGAACGTCTGTTTTGCATAATAATTTTAATATAATCAGCACAAAATTAAACCTATATATTCTTAGAGAAGAAAGAACTCACAAATAAAATATAAATTTAATGATAGGAAAAAAAGCTAATATGAGTTCAAGCACAGTAGCTATAGTGCTATGTACCGAAATTGGTAAAACCTTATGTTAGGAAATCATGTAATTTATTTTACAAAGAATATATAAATAATCAAACGTTTCGATTCATCCATGATTATTTACATATTCTTTGTAAAATAAATTACATGACTTTCTAACATAAAGAAGGTTTTACTAATTTCGATACATAGCACTACAACTACCGTGCTATGCTGAACTCATATTATAGCCTTTTTTCCTATCATTAAATCTATATATTTTATACTTTATTTTAAAAAATTTGTTTTTTGTCATTCAAAATGACTTAATTGATCTTATGAAATTTTTTTTTACTGTATGTATATGTATGTCAATATAGTGAGAAAATTTTTGCTCTACTACCATATAAACATAAAGTAATTAATTATCTTATTAAAGAGATGTTTAAATTCATGTAAAAATATAAATTCTTATTGTGAATTCAAATAAATGCTTGATCGTGATTAAAATTTGTGAAAAGAATTTTTAGACACAAGAAAATATGTTTATCTTATATTGTATATAATCAGTATAAAATTCTTTTTTCTTATATCTGTTCCAACACAAAATATTATCTTTTGCATCTATTTATCAGAGCGCGACACTCACCGACACAGGTACCCAAGTTAATACTGTACGTGAATCCTTTCTCGCACTTCATGTCGCACTCGTAAGCACCCTCGGTGTTGCGACATTCTTCATCCGCCAAACAGCTGTGAATAACTTCCGCACACTCGTCCACGTCTGATTGGCAAGCGAGCAAATTAAAAAATATCACTTTGCCACGAGTCTTTCACTATTCGATTTACTGTTCGATAATGATATAATCGGTAAAAAGAAATTCGATAAATATAGTACGATGTTATCGTACAATAATTCATTACCTTTGCACTGTTGCAACGACTTGTCGTACTTGAATCCAGCGGGGCAGGACTTCACTCCAGTTATTTCCAGACAGGCGTAACTGCCCTGCGTGTTTACGCAGAATGGCTTAGCGTCGCTGCAAGCGTTAGATAGAACAGAGCACTCATCGATATCTGGAAGTAGCATAACGATCTTAGTAAATGAGGAAAGAGAACGTTAAATTGACATCTTGAAATATGTCGACTTTCCGCTTAATATTTTATAAGTATTTCAAAAGTATTACCAGACACGTGCTGTAACCTCCCTAAATATTGTCAAAATATCGCAGCTAAAATAAAACACTATTTGCCGTTACCTGTACACACACCCGCGCGTGACTCCCACTGGTAACCGGGAGGGCAAACTTCGTAGGGCGCGTCCTTGATTGACTTCATCGTGATGCAGATGTACGATCCTATAGTATTCTGACATCTCCCAGGACACATGCTCCACTCCAGACACTCATCCACGTCTGTGCGATGTGACGTGCGCGAGCGAGCGCGATGCCAACGTAAAAGTGACGATCACATGCGAAAATCGAACGCGAACGATTGCGGTGACAGGTAGTATAGCGTATAGCGATCGGAAACTCTATCACTCGACCACACTCCCATCATCACACACAGATGTGAAAAGAGAAAAATAATGTATGGTATATCCCAGTCGCAGTTAACACAAGCGAGACACGAGATAGGGGAAGGACAGTGTTCCGACAGAGAAAACATAGCGATACAATCGACGTTGCAGTGTGTTGCAGCGCATGTAAAAAGAAAAAAAAAGATCACGAGACACGAAAAAACGTCAGCGTTACATCGAGTCAAAAACGAAAGCGCAAGGTGGGGTATATTTGTAATTGTTATTTTGTTACGGTTAATTAAACAAATAAAGGCTCTAACGAAAACAACGTACAAATAAAGCGAGCGAGAGTCAGCGCCGATCTTGGAGCGAGATTGGAGTGTATAAACGTAAATCATGTATTATCTACCGTTGCACTATTGAATCGAGATTAAGTCAAGATATTATTACAAATCGAAGAGCAAAACGTTTGCGATAATATGTTGAGCTTGCTTCAATTGTGCAATGGTAAATGATGCATGACTTATATTTACAATCATTCTTCAAGGGCTGCGTCCCTTTTTGACGCTCACGCGCTGTAAGCGTCATTTCATCTTTATCGTTCATTACATGAAAACGAAAGATAAAATGACGCTTACAGCGCGCCAAACACCCAAAAGGAACGCAGCCAAGATCGGTGATAGCTCTTGACCTTCTTTGTATGTTGTTCTTTGTTGTGGTTATTGTTGCAAGGTAATGACCTGCGTGTAAATTGTGTGTCAACTTCTTGGCGCAACGTCAGTTCGTTGTCTTACCTGCGAAGAATAAATCTACGCGATTTGGTGGTTGTCTTCGGTTAATTTACGTACCATCGCACACCTGCTTAGTTTCGTTGTAACGATAGCCCAACGGACACAACGGTGACGGCGCGGTATCCTTGTCCGCGGCGTCTGTCGACTTCTTGTTCTTGGTGGTCTTTGGCATGCACGAGCGTCCGTCGTCGGCCAAGTCGTATCCGGGATTACAACTGCATATGACGGACTCACCGTTGTCGGTACAGATCTGCTCGCACGGGTGAGTCGACTTGCATCTGCGAGAACGGAAATTCGAAGTCACAACTCAGACAACATAATGTCTAAATCGGAACATAAGATATCTTAAAGATAATCTTTAAGACGCCTTAAAGATATTTATACGTAAATCGTCTGAAAGACATCTTAAAGATGATCTTTAAAACGTCTTATGTCTCGATTCTAGACATTATGTTGTCTGGGAAGGTTATCGTTGATGAGAGGAAAATCTTTGAGGAAAAGGATCAGGAGAATGTGCATGCTATAAAGCTGATTTAACAGCAACACACGTTTCCTTCGCGAAAAGAAGGAAACGTACTGTTTCGTTCGTACCTGTCAGTCGGATCCTGACTGCAGGTCTTGCCGTCCTCCAATAAAGTGAAGCCATCGTGACACTTGCAATAATACGAGCCCGGTGTCGGCACGCAAATGTCAGAGCAGAGCATGCCTTTCATGAGTTGACAGATATCGTCCAACTCTGTGAATCAAAACGCGCGATTTAAAGTCGCGAGCTCGCGCCTGTCATAAAGAGAAAGAGAGGAAAAAACAAGTTGCGACCGAACGAATGCGCACAATCCATACTTAGCATTTCGCGATTCAATTACAATTAGCTCATGTAATTGTTTAGTTCAAGACTTCAGAACAACTACTTCGTACGCGACAACTGTCGATTCGGCTTGTATCGTTACGCAGATATAATTACATTATATTTGCCTCACTCTAACTTAGTTCATCAACATGCACCAATTCAGACAGTTCAACTAAAAAGAACAGATCTAAGTATATTTTCTTTTACTCTCTCTCTTCCTCTTATTGCAATAATCTGCACTAATACAAAAGTTCTTTGGAAGCGAGCAAATCTATTTTCTTGTTTAACAGTTGTCTAACAGTTGTCTAACAGTTCATCATTTTACAATCATGTCGCCACCGTCAACGCGAAGTTCTTGGCTGACTGATCAGAACCCAGATAGCACAGAGAATTAAAAAAGAATTCATGTCACCAATTCTGAGTTATTTTTTGGATGCAAAAAGAAGTTTTTTCACTGAACTGAACTCTAAAGAATTATTGTTGTATCTGAAAATGAACTCAGAATTGGTGACATACGTCTGAATTCTTTTTCAATTTTTTTTTTTTAATTCTCTGTGCTATCTGGGAAGTCTTAATTCTTTCATTTGCGTTGATATCAGCACTACATCTGTGAGTTTTATTACTTATGAGAATTTTGATCGGTATGTCGCGTGTGTTACCTGGAGTTGGTATCGAGTACGGTGTAGATTCCGAAGAAGAAGACGTAGAAGACGAGTAATCCGACGACGAGGAGGAAGGCAATGTCGACAAAGAGGATAATGGTGAGGATATCGGCGATGACTGCGACGACGAGTACAGTGACGATGACAACGACGAGGAATCGGTATCGGTGGTTGATGGGCTCGTGAGATCTGTCGTGGTGCTCGGCAGATTTTCATGACAGCACTCGAGGAACGCGGGATCCCAGGGGATGCCGAACGAAAAGCTCTTGAAACTGCATCCTTGACCCGTTGATGCCGCGTAGATACCTATAACGCGATTCCGTCCAGACATTCGTCCGCAATTAATCCGCGTGATCGACTCGCTAGATCTCTTTGAGTGAAATTCCACTGGAAAAGTAGACTAACAGCCGAGTCATCCGGAATCGATTGATTTTTCATTCATATTCAATTATTCGAATTGTTTTCTTTTCTCACTGTACAAAATTCGTATAGATGTCACCTGTGCAATTGCCATCATCCTTTTCTCTGAGTGTGAGTGTGAAATTATTTACTTGTTTATTTATTCAATTCTCGCGATTCCGAGTGGCGGTATTTTCACGACCGCTTCGAGTGAATTTTCGAAAGAAATTTTGCTTCAAGAAATTTAGAGAGTACTTTCAACGATAAGGTTACGAAAGATCAAGATCACCTAGTTTACAGCCTTCGCAACAATCGCGATGATAATCGCTGCGGCTGGTTATCTTCGTTCTCCTCGTGCTCGTCACGTTCGACACGCAAGGCATCCCTTGGCGTGCGTCCGTTTTTCCCTTTTCGCATTGTAAATCGTGATACTTCCGGACGCAACAGATGTCCACGGTCCTCTGGCAAGGACCTTGTTCCACTGCCGGCACTCCCGGCACGGGTCCAATAAATCTTTCACATCTTAGACCCTCTCCGGCCCAAGAAGTGCCTAAACCGCAGCATTTCTCAAATCGATCCTCTATTACTCCCTCGACAACGGGCGCTATTAGGAAAAGTAATAGGGGAAAAATAAAGAAAATGAAGACAAGACGCGTAAATTTGTTCTTATGATAAAAGTGGTGCATCATTACAGAGTTTGCCGCGTACTAATCATTGTTTCAAGTATAAAAAGATTATTTAAAAAAATTGAGATTTGAATTTCTTCTCAACTAGTGTCAATTAGTTTTAAAACTAATTCAATTCTCCCTCAACTGATTGAATTCTAAGTTTTAAAAAATTTAAGTCTATCCTAACTTTTATGAGGTTAGGACCTTATTATATATATTTTAACCTTTATGAAGTTAAAATATATATAATAAATAGATTGTGAATAAAAAAAAATATTATAGTTCAAACATTTATATCATATTGTTAATCCAACTCGATTTTTTATAGAATTTGACTCGATTTCTTTCTCCGCGCAATATAGTACACGATTTTTTGTGTTACGGATAATGTGTTACGGATCTTCGATGTTGTGCACGCTATAAATTAATCGCAAAGTAAACGTAGCGACAAATGCAAGTAGGTCAAGCACTTCGTTTGAATTTTGCGCGAAATTATTATCCTGTCGTAAAAGCTGTAAGGAAAAGCTACGGAAAAAATGACAGCTAAAAAAAAGTAGAAAAAAATCGCGCTTTGCACACTGATAAGAGCGAATGCGAGTCGGAACCTCGTCTCTCTTTTTCTCTCTCTCTATCTCCTCTCTCTCCTCCTCTTTCTTTCTCTCTCTCTTCCTCCTCTCACAAAGAAGAGACGGCGCGCAACACTTTCTGGATGACAGATGTGAGTCGCGCATTATTTGCGATCTAATATATCAATCTAGCGCGTAAATGGGTTCTACGAAGAGCTTAGAGATCCTCCAATAGCGCTCTCACGATCTCAATTGTTTCTCGATGCGTCCGTGAGATTCGTAATGCGAAAATTAATTTATATCAATTGACGCGCGTATACCACCATGGGCGTCGCGTGAAATCATTCCATTCTTTCCAACATTAATGCGAAATTATTTGCGCTAAGGCTAGCAGTAACTCAGCGTTCATGATCAGTTTTCTATCAAATTTGAATAAGAAGAAATATCAAATTTTCTTGGAAAGACGAGAATTGTACACAAAAAAAATTAAACTCAACGTGACGTGTTTTTAGCGTGAATTCGTCGAGATGATAAATATACTTCTGTAAAAACACCCATGCCTATGGCATGATCAATTATTATTCGTATCGTTAAAACATACCCGCTATTGTACTTTACCCCTTGGCATTGTGTTGGACAATTTTGCGATATCGAGCACGGTTCGTAGTATTCCGCGTGCACAAATAAGTCTAGGTCAATTGGGAAGTAACTAATAGGATGATTTGCTTAACGCCCGTATACATTGAGTGCTGTCGCGACGCAATGAAATTTAGTTGATCACAAATATCGACGATGATAACTTAAGGTTTGGCAGAAAAGGAACAGCCTACGTAAACTGAATCGAAGGCAACTGTGGATTCTACAAAATATCCGTTCGGCGACACTACACGGTGTGTGTACAATACGGAATTTTTCTCCTTTCATTAATTAAACGACTCTTTCGTACATAAAAGGAACAAATTATCTCTGATAAAAATAAGAGATATCAGAGAAATGTAAAAAAATAAAAAAATATGCGAATGTCGTGTTTTTCTCAATATATAGTAAAATATCTGCGCAGGTGTAAAATAAACTTGGATGAGTGAGAAATTTTAAATTTTTATAAATAAAATGATTCAAATAAAGTCAGCATCGCCGAACTTAACAGATCGCGGACTTAATCGCTATCTAGACTACGGACGATACCTCTATTGTGCAGGACCAGCTGCTCCAGATGGACCACTAGAAGAAGGATAATAAACGACTCACTAATAAGACCGACATATCGCGCCATTGTTCCCTCATCGATTTTCATCGGTTGTCGTAAGCACGAGATTGAACACCGATATTTCGTATCTCTATACGACGCGGGAACCGAATTTGACTTCTCTCTCTCTTTCTCTCTCTTTCTTTCTCTCTTTCCCTTTCTTCACAGAAACTTCACACGGATGCGCTTTGAGTGAGCGCTCAGTTTGCATTGAAGCGTTTGGTCTGCTAGCACTTCAGTTTTGTCATCACCTCCTTTGTATATCTCCCTTCCAGGTCCCGGACCGCTCCTTCTACCCATCATCCACGCGCTCCCACCCTTTTCTACTCGTAACACGCAGTTGCCTAGTAAAACGAGCTTGCCATCTTCCTATTTCACACATTTCGTCTATATTTTATTTATAAAGATGCACAAAAGTCTATATCTGATAAAGTATGAATGAATCAGAAATTCCAGTTGAAGTTACTAAGATTCCACTCACGTAAACAAGATTTCTGGTTAAGCAGAACTGTTCAGCAATTTGAACAGTCGCAAGTTCTGATTAATCAGAAATCTTGTTTGATTAATCCAATCAATTTTTTCCGTGTAACGTATACATTCCCGACTTATTTTTCTACAAAAATTGCACACTTTTAACTTACAATGCCACAATTATGGAAAATGTCCTCTATATAAAGATAAAATTAAATATATATCTTCTAATACAAGGTAGGACATGGTTTCGATCATATTATCCCTTTACTGTATTATTTAAGGATAAAGTATTATATGTTCATGTATTTTTCATTGAGAGATGTAATAGAATGAAAAATACAATCTTCATTACTTAACTTTTATTTATTTTTTGCGCCCCGCGTAACACATACAAAATTTTACCCTGAAATATTTTATACAGTTATATTTTGTATTGACTCTTATTTATAAATATTTGTGTTACAGAGGGACGCAAGCTGGCAACCACGAGCACAAGGCGGTTCCCCTACTTCCTCTGGGCCAACGTCGTCGTCTTCGTGGCATCTTCCGTAGCTTCTGCTCCCCGCATTCGCCGCGGCACAAAGATCTGTTTTTTGTTCAAGTTTCTTCAACAGTGGCCTCCTTGTCGCGCGAATTTTTGTGCCACCCACTAGGCGCATGTTGCCTTCAAAATTCAACGAGCGCTGATTAATAATGATTATAAAATTCTCGATTGATAAGTGTGAATTGACTGACAGAAGGATCGATAGGACGGAGCTTAAATAGGAAAACCATAATCCAAGAATCGTAATCCAAGAATCGTAATCCAAGAACTCAAGAGAAATAATAAATTCATTCACACAATTGCTTTTTGGTTGTGTTTGTCTAAAGGAGCTAATCAAGCGTATAAAAAGTTTCATACGAAAAACTATCGTTGTCATCTACACTACTGTTCTTTTATCGATTATTATTAGAGTATTAACATTGCAGATCGTGTAGATCGATGAGAGTAGTCAGTTGACGTCCATCCAGATAGCATAATATATCCTGAGATCATTCTAGATGCGCTGTGGATGTCCTGGGACACTCTCCGTTCTATACTCTTATTCCACTTTTATTCTATTGAAGTAAAAAAACTTAGACTTAAGCAAATATATTATTAGTACCCAATGAGTAAATATTTCCAAGATATCTTCTTTTCTAGTGTACGAGAACACGAGCTCGTTAAATCCGCGCGAATTTGTCGCAGAAGCGACAATCGCGACTCGATTCGATCCCATGTCACACGCTCCTTCGCCGAGATCGCCCATCCATCCACCCGCCCATCCCTCACTCGCTCTTATCGTGAATTTCTCGAGGTTCACTCGTTATTGACGCTGACCGTGACACGCGCAACACCGATCGTGTAACACCCCGCGCGCGGCAGCGTGACAGTGACGCTTATTGTAAAAAAATCTCTGGCTCGTTTCGCCAGCAGAAGCTGGCACACTCACTCACTCGTCGTCCTCGAAGCCGGCTTCGCCGCCGGCGCGTTTTCGAACCTGAAGTGGTGGTCGTGGTGGTGAGCTTTTTTGCCGCCACCGCTGCGACGACGATGATGACGAGGACGACGATGACGACGGTGGTGATGGCACCAGCATGCGCCAATCAATCTGCTTGTAACAAGATTGAGCAGCACATGTTGCTACCATCATCGCTACGAGCCGACGAATGTGAAATGACGGCACGAAGACGACGATTGTGAGTGTCATCGCGTGAAGAAAAACGAGAATTTGACAATTTACGAGAGGGAGAGGAAAAAAAGGAAGAGCCCCGGCTAACGAACGGGGCCGAAGACAAATTTATTTGCTCCAAGCTTCGCTTCCTGTTCCGCATGGCATCCTGATGGCGAAGATTTGACGGAACAGCGGCTCTCCCACAAATCATTGTCGACGAGTTTTACAAAGTAAATCATCAACTGGAGACAGTGAGAATTACAAATCGAGCTCAATGTTCGAAGTTACGTGCGACTTTCACGACATTGTGTCGATCAAGTTTGCTTCTCTTACATTTTCCTCCTCCTCCCTCTGTGCCGAAATTTTTCTCACTATTTGTAATGTTTATTATACATGTCGGCATTGTTCTCACATCTCATCGTGCGCAAATCAGTTCACTCTCCATTCTCTACCGTCGACAACTAATGGACAATATGAAAAACTCTCAGCTTGTATCTCAAACTGGCAACTTTATTCGATTGGTTTTCTGCTTGTTTGTTGCACGATTGCGCAGAAACGTGTACGTAGCCTGACGCCTGAAAGAGGCTTACATTATCGCTCTCGCGTTTGAAACCCCTCTCTTATCGTTCGTATGGCGAAAAAGCGCTTTTTACACCGGACCGAGTCGGTGGGTACCTGTTAGGTAGATAGAAACTCGTATGAAACGAGATGCGCGATAAAAAAATTTATAATTTACCGCTCCTTCCCCTCCTACGGATAGCTAAGTCTATTTTCAAAAGACGTAACGAAGCGAATAATCAATAGGTATCAGTGTAAATATATACATAAACACAGACGTCTAATGGTAAAATACGAATCTTATTGGTCTCATTACTTCTATAATTTTGACAATATTTTTGTTCTCATACATGTTAGCGGGAACACGTACTAATCTAATAAATACTGACAGAATCGTATTAAAAAAAAAAAAGAAATAAGTGAGAAAGAGAGAAGGACATACGTCCGATTAAAAAATATCGCTGTTGTACTTTGTTGTAAAGTTAGACAATTATTTATAAAATCGACCAGGATTATTACTTTCTACTCGAGGATTATTACTTGTTTCTTCCTTCCTAGCTTCACGGAATACTAGGTAACAATGAGATTCTGTTCATTCATGCAAGTGTGCAGTCAACAGTTCGTATCGTTTTCTTCCTATCGAGATGGTAAGAGCATCGTTTCTCCGAGCTACCTATGTTGACTCCACCTTCGACATACGATAATCTTGTAAAGTCAAATCACCATTATAGAACTACGTAATGTATCAAATGTGAGAAATGTTCACGAAACACTTACTTCACGTGACAATGAGTAAACTGCGTCGTTACAAAGAGTATGGAAGAACATGAACGAGGTGAAGTAAGATTAGAGAATGCTTTTTTGAGCGTGACAAGTCCCAAAAGCGCCATTGTTAATAATAACGTACTAAATTAAAGAATATACTTTCTAGATTATCGTATATTGTCATCTCACGGAGAATTAGTGAAAGATACAACACATCTCTGTGAATAATAAGATATACGATTACGCGCGTCGCAATCTTCCATCGAAGAATGTGTCAACGAGCGTTTGAGCGTAAGATTGTGCGCGACAACATATTATTACGCCGCTTGAATGAGATCAGTTCTTGTAAACGTTACATGCAACATAGAACTATATATCAAATAAAAGATCAAATAAAAATGTAATAATAATTGCATTTTCGAATATAAATTATCCTTTTGATATTCATGATATTTTTATACATGTATTAATCTTTACTATGCTCTCTTCTATATATAATCGTAAAACCGTAATGATCCAGACTGATTTATGAATCAGTAAATTGCCAATCACTACAGCCTCTCTAGATTTTGAGAATCGCATATTTTTCGCGAGCAGTATTATATTGTGACTTAATTCTTATAACATTGATATAACATCAATAATCATAGCGTTTTATACAATTAATATAACATATGAAAAATAATAATACGCATCTTTCGAAAATCATTGGAAAACTATATCGAACGACGAGTTTATTAATTTATTGTAAAATGGGGAGATCTCATTATGTGCGGTATTATCTGCAACATCAACTGTAAAATAAAAGTCAAGTGAATTTCAACAGAGGATTAAAAAAAATCCTCAGTCCATTATTTGTATTTCATTCAAAGGTCAGTATAGTTATGTAAAAATTTTTGTGTGCGAAAGTAGATACATAATTGTCACTCTCAAAAATTCTACTCAAACACCTCGTTCTAGAAATCATATCTAACGAAAAACTTTATGAAAAAAGCAAGTAAATTGAATTTACTTCACCTGAAATCTCGTCTCATATTATACTCTAACTTATCGGTAAAATCTGCAATATTAAGAACCAGGTCAGACATTTTCTGTCGCATATTTTATTAAGAGAACGACTAGGCCATATGAATATAACTGAGGAGTTTGTGTTATGTTCTGATACAATTTTCGTGCGAGAGTGGAGCCTACCTAATTTAATCCAGACCCTTTCCTTTCAAACCACTTTCAATATATCTTAACAAATGTTGCATTTTTATACATATGTAGGTTCTCAATCGAAAGAGTCTAGATCTTCTAAATTCTGCCTTTCTATTTTCATATATTCAAAAAGTGTGTCCTGAGATTTATTCATATGGCATATCTTTCAGTCTAGTAGACTTTCTCTGCTCTCGATTGATTGATTCGGTATATTTCATTCCATTCATTCTTTCACAGTGAATGTCGACTCTATTCAGGTTCTTCTCCATCTGCAACCGTCAAATGCTCGTATATATGTATCACATGCGTACTATTCAATAATGTGTCAATCTTTGCCAATTTTTATCGCTTACCTTCGCGCTCCACTTCATCTTCTCCCAACAGATCATCCTCTTCATTTACACCGTCGTCTTCGTCATTCACAGCCTCCTCTTCCTCTTCATCATCCTCATCAACATCGTCCTCGACTACCACTATACTGTCATCTCCTTCTTCACCTTCTCCCCCTTCTCCTCCTTCGTCACCGTCATCTGCGCCGTCTTCTTCCTCTTCTTCCTCTTCACTTTCACACTCCTCACCATCACCTTCAATGCCATTTTCGACGTCTATATCTGGTGCAAGGTAATACTAAAACACATATCAAATTATGAGTCAGATATAAACAAAATTGTTCAAACCAATTGTGTCTTAGACTCCTCTTAAGACTCCTGGTTCGACTACTGCAGAACCAGATCTGCTGGATTGATCGCGTCAGAAGCGAGTAAATGCATACCCAAAATCCTTGTATGCCTTTTTCAAGTATTTGTGTGAAAGAACGCTTTAGATCGCTTGAGCGCATACTTATAAAATGCTTAAAAAATTATCACTCCCTTGACAATCAATAAAATTAATATAGCATTATAACTAATGTATATGCAACCTTTTTCTTTGACTTATCTTTCTTCATAATTTTGCCACGTTAATTTTAAGGTTATTGACTGTCAAGAGAAATGATAGTTTTCAGACCATTTTGCGAATATTTTCGAACGATCTAAAGTGTTTTTTCATACAAGTATCTTTATAGTTGAAAAAGGCATGTAAGAATCTTTGGTGCGTTTTCTCATTTCTGACGTTATCCATTCAGGTTCCTCGCAGAAATTGGATCAGGAGTCTTGATGTGCACCTCTGAAATAATGTTACCTGCAGTGGATTAGGCCACATATCATCCTTAATTAATTCAGCTATCTCGTCCGAGCTTGGATCACCATGATCCGTAAACCAGTCAAAGAATGATCTGTGCTTGAGTGGTCTCTTGCGTCCTTTTAATGGCGCTTTGGTCTTTGCTTTCTTCGTTAAGTCCACGCCCTCTTTCCAACAGATAGGTGTACTTTGAGATGCTGGATCTCCTGCAAAACAGCAGGAGATTCATCGCAACTACGACACTCAACTAAAGTGCAAACAGCACAGCAGACATTTCTCACTTAAATACTACT